ACGGGAGATGAGCAGACCAAACTGAACAGCGAGTCTGTATGATCAAAGCTACCCAGAGTATGATTGTGGTGTCTATGCGCACTGGATATCGGCAATCTCTGGCTCGGGCTTACAGTAGGTGAAGTGATCGTTGAAAACTCAGTTTGTGTTCCGGAATACATTTGTCCGGACGTAACCCTCGTAAAGTACGGTCTACTGACATCCCCATCATGGGGACCCCATGTTGTGCTCAAGTTCAATGCTCCACTAAAGACTACTCAGGAGAGAGGCCCTCCATGGGAAGGTACCTACTGGAGTCCAGTAACTGGACTTTCTGCCTCAGAGTTGCCCACTACTCGAGATATAACAGGTACGTTACGTACCGTACGTACTACGCGAGAAGTTGCGATCGGCTCGCTATTCGCGAGTCGCTTATGCAGGTGAATCAATTCCAACGCGCATGCATGCTAGACTTCCGCATACATGGCACGCAAACGAGGCACTGACTCGGACAGGCCAATTCCACCGCCTTCCCAACTTGAACGAAATCTTCCCCTTTACGTGCGTGAAACCGTGCGCCATGCCATGCGATGACACCGCAAAATCAATGGTGAGTTGCCATACGAAACTTATGATCCAGTCTAGTGTACCGAAGTAGAAGTGGTAGTAAGTACTGTACGGGTCAAGATCTCAGCCTAAACTATCCGCTTAAGCATCGCCGACTAATGTACGCCTACGGCGCTTCAATAAAGACAATCTAGGCTCAACGCTCGGTGCTGCCTGTCCTGGTATCAGAGCTCTCGACTCACCACTGTTTTCAGGCACCTCAACCGTAGAACATTTCGCCGAAACCTCGAGCTCACCCGACACCGCTGAATTTTTGGTTTGTTTCCTCCTCGCTTTCGCCTTCGCCTTCGCTTTCGCTTTTGCTTTCGGTCTTCCTTTCGGCCGCCCTTTTGCCTTCGCTCTGGGTTTGACTATGGGCTCCTGGTCAACTTCGGGGCATACAACCGTAAGATCCAAGCTGTTCTTTTCGCTTCGCTCCGCTAGAGCCTGAATCCTCGATGACCTCCGACGCTCATGCACTGCAAGATTCGCTCGGAACCCAACTGCGGACCCGAGAAGACTTATTCGCTCGGACCTGAACACCATAAAATCTTCCACCGATCAATGCGAACGATAACCAGTGTAGAAAAATATGCACACATGGTCAGCTACATATGTTGGTGACAATACGAATATTCTGAGGAAATTTTGGTAAATCCTTGTTGGTTTCCGAACACTTACATATGCCGATATAATACACGATGCCGTATATAAACTCCTTCAATGAATTAGGAAGCTCTCGAGCTCAACCGAGGAAAGCAAACATATATCCGACACTGACAATAACTCCGAAGCACACGCCTGATTAACTGAACCTTCGAAGGACGGCGAGGGTTATCTCACCCAGCAGTTGAGGGCCGTGCGACTATTCCCCTCCTCGGCACGATGTCGTCGTTCTCTTGTCTACACGTGCTGAGCACAGCGGCACTCCTCCGCTGCGGTGCATTCTGTTCGGCGACCGTTATTCGACTGGTCACGGCAGCTCTCGGTGGCGTCATTGGTGTACTCACTCCTATCCTGCTGCTGCTCTGCAGAGCCTTGAATCCTAGAAAAGCAAACAGCATTTCCGCTCGCACCATGGAGAATATCGACCGACGTTCCGCCCATGCTGCCTCTATCTGATCCAAGCGAGCCTTCGTTTGCTCACAGGTCAACTCGATGCTTTTCAACCGTTCGAGCTCTCCGATAACATACTGTTGCGAGGTACTTGTACGCAGAGCCTCGATTTCAACACCTATTATAACGTGTCACCAAAACTAAACCAACCTACCATAACGTGTCGACTAACCTAGAGCTTTCAGACGCAGATGTAACCCTTCTTGAGCCGACTTGAATTCAGATCGAAGCTCCTCACTGCTAGCCGCTACCGTCTTAGCGATGGAGGCCTCCAACTTCGCTGATTCCTCAGCTATCGCTCCAGCGACGATCTCCTACCAGAACGGAATCTAGTGACACCCCACAAGGCTCACGCATACACGAGCGGTTGTTTCGAATCCCTCCTTGAGTTCATCTCGTGTCTCTCCCAATCTTTGGTCGATGAAATCCCGCGACTCGTTCACCGCGTCAATGACTTGGGACGTGGAAATGTCGGTAGACGCTTGACTCAGGCCTGAGTGCCTCTGATACACTCTTGTCGGATACAATTGTGTTAGCGCTAAGAGCAGTGTCGCAAAGTCAGGCTAACGGAAATATAAGTCCTCCCGAACGAAACTATCTACAGTCTTGGGCTAGACAAACAACATTTCAGTCTACCATATTTTCAAGCTACTCTCACACGAGGTGCGCTGAAGCGACAAGACTAAATCGAGGCGGTCAACGATCAAATCATGCCGAGTGCCAATAAGTAAGCTAATCGGTTGGTCCCTTACTTATATCCTGCCCTTTCTCGCTGGATTCAGCAGGCACGCCTTCAAAACTCACGCGCATCTCTCTGCATGCTGACATCTGAGCATGTTGACACCATGATCGGCTGGTCACCGCTCAACGACTCTCGAACTGCCACCCTTATTCAAGTTCCGCCTACCTGCGTTCCCATATCGAGCATCATCGGACCACTCTCACCCGATATCTCATCGACGTTCATCGTCATCGAGTCATTAGTTTTCTGCGTTGAACCCGGTACCTGCACCGTAGCCTTCCACAGCCCTTTCCTCGCGAAGGTGCCACCTCCGACAGCAACCTCAGACCAGGTTTCCTCTCGTGCCTCGGCGACGGAGGGAGAGTCGGCGGTATAGTTTCAGTAACGCTTGGAGTAGGCTCAGCTGAAAGAGCTGACTGTTCTAATAGCAGTAGACATGCTGTACCCTCCAGTGACAAAGTAGGGCCAGGATTGGTCGATGCGAGCTGTGTTGACTCTATTGCTTGCGACTGTGATAAGCCCATCAGATGCCCTATTGTTAAGCGTCGTTTCGGCGGCGGGTCAGCGACAGTCGATGCCCCCTACAGGAATATTGTTCATCATGACCCCCTAGTCTTTTCCACATCCTGTCCTTATGACCCACCTCATTCTTCTGCGTAAGGCTGGTCAATCGACATGCTTTCAGTGTTGAGGAGGCCACCGAGCCTCGATCTCCTCCTGTCTGTTGCTGCTGCCACACCCCTCCACCATTCAGCTGAGAAAGACTGCCCAAAGAACTCTGGCTCGTCCTGAGAGATGACTGAATCGCCTCCTATTGAAATCAGTGAACTCACTTTCGAGCCACTCCGCCTTGTAGCGCTAGAGAGCCGCCATAGCGTCTGATAGTGTCACGTAGGCCCTGTCCACGCTGGGGCTCTCGACCTTGACTCAAGGAAGGAATGCGGTTGCCTCCAAAGCCCGTGAACATTATCGTGCAACTTATGGAAAGGTTCTCAGCGATGTTCGTTGACTTATGCTTCCACACTGTTATTGACCGGACTACGGAACACAACAGCCGGTGCGAGAGATGAGGTTATGCATGCGTACTGAATGCACAGTGAATTGTTGAATAGTCACGATGGCTACGACCAATGGTAACAGGTCAAGGCGTCATTATCGCTATCATCAGTAGCCGAAGAAAGGAGCGATTCTAGCCACGATGATAGCAACAGTAATGCTGGTCAGAAGAGCCTTCGTCGAAAAGCCACTCGAGTTAGCCGATGCTGAGCTCGATTGCTTTACCTGAAGATAAGTAACAAGCGTAGGCAGGAGGGGGGAACTCACAGTCTCGATCTCCTGTTCTAATCTTTTCTTATCCTTCTCCACGCTGAGAGTGTACTGAATGAGCTCATCATACTTAGCACGCAGGTCGTCTTTAGTCTCAGTGGAGCCCTCAGTGGTAGTAGTGTCACCACCACCAGTTGAGGCCTTGAACGTGACACGTATCTTCTGTTCCTCTATGTCGTCTTTACTGAGCTTGCTCCAGTCCTCGCGCTCAAGGGGTCTGCCGGACTTGGAAACAGCAGTCTGGATGAGGAAGCGATCGTGTTGATCGATAGAAGAGTCCCCCGTCTGGGGCTGTAGTATGATCTGAATGTCAGCCGACTCGCCTGGGCTCAGCAGACCACTCGAAGGACGGACAAGGTACTTGCGAGGAGCCGTCGTTTTGATTTTATACGCGACACTGTACTTCTTGTTATTGTTGTTGTCAAGCCTCAGTATGGTTGTAACAGGCTGAGAGGGTCTGATGGGGAACTGAATCTCCCCAGGCTTCACAGTGACAAGCGTGGTGGCCATTATGTTGTGAAATCAACAACTGTAATAGACTATTCGAGTACGGTGATTCTTGCCAATCTTGCGCTGACTTGCATTTTCTCAATTTTTGGATACTTGTTCTTGCTAGTGCGACTTATAAATCCTCTCCAGTAGTCTCGCTGCAATTCGACAGCGCAAATCTGACTTGTATGGTATGACTTTGCTAGAAGTGTTTTTCAGATTGGGAGCATTCGTAAATCACTAATCCTAAGGTCAGAAGTTGCTGCGTTGCGTTACTGATTCGTAGCATTGAGCGGTACTAACATTGAGCACTGCCGCTCAGTGCTACGGGATCGTGATTTGCGCAATAACAGTGCTGATAGGAACGATTGTCGCTTAAGCGTAGTTCTAGTGAAATGGCAAGATGGTGACCTAGTTAGTATCTTTCACAGAGTCAACCTTGGATATTCGTCGTGGAGTATGTCCATTTGAAAAGTACTGGGAGAATGGTATGTTTGCTGTATGTTTGCTGTGATAGTGTATACATAGGAGTTTTCAGTGGATAAATTTAATGCATGTAAATGTATGGCCTATTCCTACCGAGACTGATCGCACTCTGTTGGCTTTGGCGAAACTAGATAGGGGCGACAATGAAGACGATGAAGTTCCTGATGAACTTATGACGGTCGTCTGGACTTACGCCAGGCCACTTCTGGCAGGCTTTCACCGAACTCGTAGGGATCCTGCAAGGAATATAAGGAGGTGTTTGAGAGTACCAGATGGGAGCGGGTTGCTGCTATTGAAGGCTATCGCCACTGTCGATGGACATAGCCCCTTGCCTGAGTGGATTTGTAGGGTTAATCTATTGACTCCCTGTGGGAAGATGCGGACTTGCTTGGGCTGGAGGCTCAGACTGAGTCCATTGGATGTGGCGTGTATAGCCCCTGATCATAGTGTTGTATTTGCCAAGAGCTCAGGGGTGTATCGATACTCCTCTGAATGGGACCAGGAAGAGCTACTACTGTCAGGCGGTCGGTCGAGGTTCTTCTGTTTAACAGCTGGCACGGACTGTGTCTATGGGCCTTTGGGGGCCCTTCATGATCGCCCGTCTTGATATGAGCGGTCATAATGAGGTTGTCTGCCGTACTA